AGCAGCAGCAGCAGCAGCAGCAGCAGCAGCAGCAGCAGCAGCAGCAGAAGCGGCGCGAGGAGGCGCAGGAGAGGCCGGAGCCGCCGGGGGCGTCCCCCACTTGGCTGGATCCAGGTAGGTCCAGCAGCCCGGCCGGGCCTGCATCTGTGCCAGCGCCGCGCTCGGCTTCGTGGGGTTCTCTGCCTGGCCTGTCCCTGCGGTCCCCATCCCTCCGCGCCGCCCCCGGCCGCCCGCTCGGCCTCTGGGTCTCTGCTCCGGTGGGAACCTTTCCCGCATAGCCGCGCTGCAGCGGGCTTGAGAGGGTCGGGGGCGGCAGGGAGGGTCCGCGCTGGGTGCCAGCTTCCACCGATCATTTTATTTTCCTCCTCCCTTCCTACTGCACACACGCACGCGCGCACACACACACACACACACACACACACACACACATGCACTCACACGCGCGCGCGCACACACACGCACACACGCACACACACACACACATGCACTCACACGCACACGCGCACACACACGTACACATGCACACACGCACACACGCGCACACACACACACACACACACACACGCTCTAGCATTCTGCTCTCTATCCTCTCCTGGATACTGAGCAAGCAGTCTTGCCTTGTACACCCACACAGCTTTTGCACTGTTTCTCCCTGCCTGCTGTATTTAAATTTAGAACCGGAGGGGAGGAAAAAAAAAAAATCTCGGTTTATTTTATTGCAATTCTCTTCTTATCCCAGGAAAGGTTTGAGGCAGCTTACAAAGGAGGAAACAAAATTGCGTTTGGTACAATAAGATGAAAGAAAACAATGAAGCAGGAGTTTGTAGTTGAAGGAAGGGACGGGGGAGGGGCAGACAGAGGTGAGCCCGGAGTGACGTGGAGATTGTAGGGCCAGCCCCTCCCCCGAGGGGAATCTCCTTGGAGTGAAACTTAAATGAGCCTCTCTTGACACCTTCGGTAACTGTGATGAAGTGTGGGGGTCGTGTATATGACCATCACAGCCCCTTATTTTCTCCCCCTCCCCCAGTTAAAGCTCTCCGGTGAGCAAAGAGCTGGGTTATCCATTTAAGTAGCCTTTTCCCAGCCCCCAACCCAGCTCGTTGCCTTTTGCACTGTAGATTCTGCCCAGGCTTTGGGAAGGAAAGGGGATTTTTATAAAAAGCCACCGATTTTCTGGTTACTGGGCTGAGGTTTCACAAACCCAAGATGAGTGTTATTATTAACACTGGCTTTTAAAAATCTGCCTAGTAACGTTGTAGAAGATGCCGAAACGGAAATCTGTAGCGTGGAATCAGCGTCCTCGCTGATCTCGCTTGCTCACCCTCAGAGGGCAGTTCCGAGGCTCCCCAGCTGTGATCCATGACACAGCCTCGATGATTTAATTTCTTGAAGTGCTTGGAGCACAGTATGAGATCACCAAAGTGCCCCGGGAGAAAGCAAGTGTTTCTGACACCCCCTTAAGCTGATTGCTAGCACCCAGAGGTGGCTGAGATGGAGAGGTGTGCAGGGTGCTCGTGTCTTACTCGGGTTTCAGCACGAGTGTGGAGCACCTGAGCCAGTGTTAGACCCTCGGGAGCTCTGGAGCCGGACTGGCAGCCTCTTTATTACAGGAGAGCTTTCTCACACATACGCAGTGTGGTCGGAGCCTGGGAGTGTGTTGATGATTTCATGGTTTCTGATACTGTCATCTCTCAGGAGTGTTTGTGACGTGGGTTTGATTGCCATGGCATAATGTGTTCTGATACAGGTTATAGATAACTGAAACAATTTGAAACTTCAGTATTTAGCGTTAAAGCTGTATTATTTGCTTTCTGGCATTATTTGGGAAGCTAATCACCCCTGTTTCATTTAAGTTGGTTGAGGTAAAGCAGCTGCTGTCCAGCAGTTCACACTGAGGGCTGAAGAGTAGCCTGGCTGTAGTCTTTCTCAAACGCTCTCAAGCCCTGTCCAGTGGCAACCAAGAGCAGGTGAGCAGATTACGTCAGTTGTTGGCATGAGAGGTAAACAGATGCCCCCTGAACTCACTGTGAGCGGCTCTTATTTCAACCTTTGTCCTTCGGCCATTTAGACATTTCTACAAAAAAACTAAGTAGGAGAATGACCTGTGCTCAGATCGTGACGCTTGTGTGCAGGGATCTGGCCGCTCTGGTTTCTCCCTTCTGCAGCTCTTGCCCTGGCTTCTTTCATTTTCGGGGTGGGGGGGGGATCAGGTGCCAGACTTCTGCACTCGCTGCCTTCTCTGTGTGGAGTTTGGAGACTTATGTGGCTGGGCATGCCCGGGAACTCCTAACCTGAGGCCTCTCCTGCCCTGGCTCAGCCCCGCCCCCATCTGCCACTCTCAGCCCTTCTTTCAAAAATTACTTATTTGTCTTCGTGTCTGTGGGGGGTGGGGTGTAGATGCCACAGAACCCCTGCGTGGGGAAGCCAGGGTACAGCTTGCAGGAGCTCGTTCTCTTTCCAATGCGTGGGCCCTAAGGACTGACCTCAGGTTCAGACTTGGTGGCAAGCCGTTGACCTGCTAAGCCATCTCACGGGCCCTCCTCAGTAAGCCGGCGAGGGCATGGACTCTGTTGTGGTCACTGCCATATTTCTGTCACCTAGAAGAGCTCTTGGTATGTCTAGACACTCAAATGTTAGTTGGCCAAGTAGGTGAAGAGATGGATCAATATGCTGGCATCAGGGGGCACGAATTTCTCAAGTATTTGCTAAGCATTTAACATCTTGTGAAGTTCTTCATTCGAATTTGTACAAAAAAAAATGTTATAGGAAAAGATTTGTGAGTATAGATGATAAAGTATGTAACTGTGGATCTTCAATGTTAGCTAATTTCAGTGTTTGTTTTGGGCTGTTTATACATGCCTAATTGATACCGGTACTTGAGGCAATTGCTAGGTTCTGTCAAGAAGATTCTTAAATGCACTTGTAATCCTCTTGTGACCCAGGTGGGTATTAATGTGCTACACCTTTAAGTAGCTGTGCCGGCCCGGTCTGTCCTCTGTCTGTGTGTCACTTGCCATGCCTTGGACTTGGAATGCAAAAAGCACTTTTCTCAGGCAAGATGTTGACGACTAAAGCACACTGAGTGATGTGTCTTAGCAAGGAGAGTGATCGCGGGCCTTGGTTATTAGTCTCTGTAGTTTACTCTTCTGGAAATTCCTCTTGTGGTTCTGAGAAATAAGAAAGGTTAAAAAAATGGGTGCATTACATCTAAAAATCAGGATTTAAAAGAGTATGGTACTGTTTACTTGTTAGCTTATGGAATATTGTCTTTACGTAGTTCTGAGAAGAAAGGCCAAGTCTGGGCTCTGCGAGGCCCCTTTGTTCCCTCCAGCAGAGGTCCCGATACTGCCATCTGTGCCAGGGTTTGCCAGGAATAGAGATTTGAGGGGCTATCAAAGAGTTAATTTGGGAGCTGGTGGTAGTCGAGACAGCCACATCTTACTTGCTCTGATGGCCCATTAGGTAGGAGGCATGTGCAGCTCGAGGCACGGGAGGGAGCTGCAAAAATAATGAGTGGCATTAAAATTCCATGACAAGCACAGACGCGGCCTCTCCGTGTCTCTTCACAAAAGTCTTCTGCACATAGGGTCCTGGGAAGCATAATTTTTATGGCCTGAAAATACTTAGTCTTGTATTTTGGTGATATATACGTATGTTGAATGTATAAGGAAAATAAACAGATAGCATGATTGTACCAGTCACTTAGTGTCAAAATTCTGCCATTATTGCTTCACTCACACATCTAACCATTTGTAATACGTGGATTTTTTTTGTACAGTGGTTTTTTTGGTGATATGTCCACATATGTAAGCACACATATTGCTGTTCTTTGATAAATAAGTATTTGCATCTAACCAGTACCTGTCTGGACATGTTTACATCCTGGTGGGACGTTCTCCATCTTCTCCTTCCCATGCTACCCTGTCCTTCACCCAGAGTTCTGTGCTGCTTTGATTGTTGTCATTCCAGATTAACTATGAATTTTGTAGATCTTCAGATATGGATTCCCATATCACTTAGTGTTTTGTATTCATCGTCTCTAGCTTTAGGATAATTTTTTTTACTGATTTCATTGATTTCCTAGGACATTAGTAGTTTACTTCTCTGTTCTGATGTGTGGGATTTCATCTTGAGAACTGCACCAGCTCAGCTTGTTGCTTCTTTTGTCATGATTATTTAGTTTGTCTCTGGTGACTGAGGCTCCTACATCCTTAAGTCTTTGTGTGAACATGTTTTTTTTTTTTATGCTTATGAGTGTAATTGCTGTGTCATATGGTATACTTTAATATTTGAATATTACCCAATATTCTATGAGGCTGGGACCTATCTCACTTAATCTAATGATGAGTTAAATGACAGTTCTCTCTTGAAATTACTTTTACAGTGCCTGTCTGAGTTCTCAGTATATTTGATGCACGTATGAAACAGCTAACGATGTCAAGCTGAGTATCAGCCCCTCTTCATCTCGTGGTTACTAAAACATATTCTCAGCAAGCTTCCAGCGCATGACATGTTATGGCTCTCTTCCTCGTTTCCTACATTCCATTTTCTTGCTTGATGTGCCTATTTGCAGCTCTGCACGCTTGTCCTCTGCTTTTTTTTTTTTTTTTTTTTTTTTTTTTTTTTTTGTCCCCACTAGTTTTCACTTTCTTTCCTATTTAAATCTCCCATCGGGGAAAAATGGGTCTATTTACTTTTTGTAATCAAGGAATTTGAAAAATCGGTAGGAAAAGTAAGATCAGAAATGGTTCTGTTTGGAAGTGCTCATGCCGCAAAGGCCGTGTTCCCAGATGGGTGACTAGGATGTCTTTCCAGGATTTTAAAGCCAAAGGGAACATTTAGTGGATGCTGATTACAGGTGGAGAAACACATGCCATTGTGTTGAGTTTGAGTCCAGTTGGTTTTGTGGTAGATTTTACAATGTTTTTAATGTGACTCACCAGAAACTGTACCAAATATTTTTTTCTGAAACAAAACTCTTCCCTCAAGAATATAAATATTGAACTTGATTCTCTTTCAAAGTTCTGTCTGGCTGGGTCAGCCACAGTGTTCTTGTCATTCATTTGCTTGGCCTGTTGTTGAATTTTCTTTTGTCCAAATTGCCTTAGCTACAG